CACATATAAGGTGGTAAACAATTACATTACCTCCTCAGCTAGTTTAGTCAAATTAGTTCCATATTCCTCCAGTGTTGGCATCTTATTACTACTGGTTGATCCTCCAGGAACGACACCAACTTCATTACCCTCACCAACCATGCGAATAACCTGCTCTCTCCAATTGAAGAATAGTTAGTAGTAGATTTATATCAGAAAATTTTACAGTGAGAATCTCCACACAAAATCAGGTAGACAAATGAAGTATGAGGTGCACTCCTTGCCTGTGTGCGGATATTACTCGGATCAGCACCTAAATTCTCAAGAACACGAGCTGCTACACCTTCACCTTCCCGAAGGAGCCCCAAAAGAAGATGCTCTGATCCAATATAATTATGTCCTGAAATTTTAATGAAATATGGATATTCCAGTCAATGAAAACAATTTATTATTCAAGAAATTATGTGAATATATTGCTAGGTCCCAGGAATATACTATTTATACGGATATTTCAGTTAGAATATTATATTATATGACAGATAAATAGCTTATCATGGGCATGTTGAATGAGATTAATTGAGTGGTGCAACACATTGAAGTACTAAAGAGCAGAAAATGCTTTTTCTAAAGCTACATAGATTTACAAAAACCATATCAACTGTGAATATTACCAAGCTGACGGGCTTCCTCCAATGAGAGTTCCAACACACGTTTTGCACGTGGGGTGAAAGGAATCTCAACAGCAACAAACCCACTTCCCCTTCCAATTATCTTCTCCACTTCGACTCGTGCATCTTTAAGATTAATGCCCATAGATTTAAGAACCTTTGCAGCAATACCAGTACCTTCACCTATAAGACCCAAAAGAATTTGCTCTGTGCCAACAAAATTGTGGCCAAGCCGTCTAGCTTCCTCTTGGGCAAGCATAATTACTTTGATAGCTTTTTCTGTGAAGCGCTCAAACATAGCTCTAGTAACAAACCGGCTAGACTTTCTACGGCGGGAAAACATTGAAGATGCAGCCTTTGAATGGAAATCTTGACTGCCTATAAAAAGGCTACCTAAGGAATTGGCACCTCGCAAACCAGAAACACTTTTCATTCTCAATCCATTTGATAGTAAAGCTGACATCCTTAAAGAAGACCTTTTGGGTTTTCCTGTTTGTTGAAGTCCATGCCTTGGACAAGGAAATAGAGCAGCATGGGAAACGCAAAACTGAGCCAGAGCCATATCTCCCTTGCAATCCATATTTGATTAAAGACACATGTTAGCCAGAATACATACATGGCAAGGAAAAAAACCAAAAAATACTCCTCAGGCTACATTTCAGAAGAAAAATTCAAACATCCAATGATATGAATGCATTCAAATTTCAATAAACACCAAGACCACTGTAAAAATTCCTAGCAGTCGTGTTATCAAGCATTAAAGAAAAAAAAATGAGCTCAAGTATTCATTAGACTTCCCAAATCCAAGTAAAAATATAAGCAAAAGAATTAACAAAGCAGCACATCTAAAAAGTTGGGCTTTAACAGGTCAATAAGTTGCAGGAGTGAAGAGTCCAAGAAATACAACATATAAAAATTAAGGATTAGAGTTAGGGATTAAGCAGCCAAAAGCTTTCATCTATGGTGCTGAGGCTAGCCTGTCAGAAACTTTTAGGTGCCTTTAATCATCCATTTCAAACACAACAAACAATTAACAAGCAAACAAACAACACCAATCAAAAACACATAAAAGTTAACAAACCAATCCAAAACCCTAATTCAACTCTTCGAAACAGACCATTCGCCAAACAACAAAGCACGCTCAAACCCCTACATTCCACACCTTTACAAAAGGAAACCAATTCCGATACTCACCTAAACCAACCAACAACAAAAACCCAGGTTTTAATCCTGAAAACGGAACGGAAAACGGAAAAAAGGAGAGACCTTTATCGATCGTTCGCCGGCCAGAGAACAAGATGAAGAAGAAGGTCGGCCGAAGCAAAGAGATAAGTGTGGCCGATAAGAAGCGACATTCCCTTTCATATCTCTCCCTATTTGCCCACGTGCTGTTTTCTTTACGCGACACTTCATCACGGACCATAGACTCTCCTTCACACACCGTTGGATTCCAACATGTTTAGTCGGATGATCAAGGTTATGCAGGGCCCACCTGCTTATCTGTTAACGTTACTACTTGGCAGCCACCTCTGGCCTCTCCTCTCCACTATGCAGTGAGCTCTAATGGTGGGCTTGGATTGGGCTCATCTGGGCTATAAGCAACGGTATACTCATGGGCCAAGCTCAAGAATTGGAATGGAATCGTTTATCACAGTTAACCATGAGTATACCGTAGACACAATAAAATAGTCATTTCCTTCTCTTAATCTCTCTCTATCTTCCTTAATATTTAAAATCGATACCTCTAACTTAAAGTTTCAAGTCTTTAATTAATTAGAAAACCCTTGAGGGCAAGTATTTTTTTTCTCTTAATCTCTCTCTACCTCTCTTAATATTCAAATTCGATATCTTTAACTTGAAGTTTTAAGTCCTTAATCACTTAAAAAATCCTTAAAGACAAGTATTTTTTTAGAGAGAATGGATCTGGACCTATATGTCACATATGTTTAATATCATGCCTTTTTTTTTTTCTTTTTGGGTGGTGGGAGGGAATATAGTTACAGAATAAATAATAAGAGTTCAGAAGGACTGTCCTCGAAAACAACAAAGTCCACAATAGAGTTGGCTCTTAATTTACTTAGAAAACCAGTTGCTCTAGTAATTAACTTCTTGATGGATATGAGTGATCTGAAGCTCAGCTATCTGCTCCATCAGCAACTTGCAATAAAAAGAACCAAGAGAATGGAAGCTAGCGAGAGTCAGTAGAGTTCAAAAGGGTTTTGGCAACTTTAGAGTCAACTTCCACAATATGAGGTTGGAAAATCCCCCTGTTAAACGGCTAAATTGGGACCATTTTACATGGCCCAAAAGTTCAACAGCAAACTAGGTATTAACAGTCAAAACAGTTATAAAGAGATAAAACTTTTTAACGCTACCGAGCTGCATGTAAATAGTACACAGACTAATTTCTTTGGGTGCAAAGCCCTTCTATTAACAATCAAGCCATAATTCTACGATAAAGCCGAAGCTAATTAATGGGAACATTGGCTTACAAACCTTTATTGTCATAAAACGAGTTTAAGTAAAAACTAGTGAATAAAAAAAAAAAAACCAAAGTTTATCAAACAACAAATTCAACATTAACAAATGTATATTTTACTAAATACGTATATGCAATGGGAAATTTATTTATAAATAAGTTTTATACATTATATTTATATAAAATTTTGTTTATTTATTTTTATATTTTTAATAATTAAAATTTATTATAATTTTATAAATTAAAACTATAATTATTTTAAATAAATATAAATAAATCTTAATTATAAAAATTAATTAATTAAAATTTTATATAAATATAATATATAAAATTTATATATAAATAAATTCTTATTTTATATATGGGTATGAGTTGTCTTAGGTTTTACACCCTTTTTTTTTATTGTAAATTAATACGTAAGTAATAACCATACAATGACAATGACAAGGGCAGGTAATTTTGCTAAAAAGTGCAAGGTAAAAATAAAACCCGTCACATCAACTTATAAAAGCAAATCTCGAAGTCTGAGACCATGGTAATTTCATTAAAGACATATCCCCACTAAGTACTATATAAGTGGGGGCATAAAAATAGGTTAAATATTTTTTTAGTCCTTTTATTATAGAAAAAAGTTTTTTTTAGTCTTTATATTAAAAAAAAATTTTTTTGATCCTTAAAGTTTAAAATTTGACATCTTTTTAGTTCATTCATTAAATTTTAACTAATGTGTTAGGTTAATTAATGAAAATTGTCTAATTTATTTTCTTTGTATAAATGATATGGAAAATATAAATAAAAAATGATGATGTGGCATTCACATAAACTTAAACATTAACATGTAATTTATAAAAACTAAAATTTTAAAATTAACCTTATTCGTACTTGTTCATTGTTCAATTTTTTCTCATGGAGACATCCCAAATCAAGAAAAAAACAAATACCAGATCAACAATTTCACATAATCAAAGATCTAAACAAAAAAAATGTTAGCAACACAACACCACAAATTTGGGTTTCACCGACAATTTCATATAATCAAAGATCTAAACAAAAAAATGATAACAACACAGCAACACGCGAGGAACCCAGGGGCTTGGGTTCATGAGGAACCCGACGATAGCAACACAATAACATGTGAGGAACCCAGGGGCTTGGGTTCATAAGGAACCTGGTGCTGGGATTCTCAATGAACTCGACTCCTAGGTTTGCGAGGAACCTAACACCTAAGTTCGCGACAAACCCAGCAAACCTAGGTACTTGGGTTCACCTTTCCATTTCAAATTTGATTCCTAGAAGGCAAAGGTTTAAAAAAAAAAAAAAATGAAGGCCAAAGGAAAGAGAGGATAAGACAGAAAAGGAAAGAAGATAGGGGTAAATTAATAATTAGAGTTAAGTACTCTTATTCACAAAATAACCTTTAAAATATTTATAATAATAATTATGTAATTAAATGATTTTTTAAGTTTTAAAGTTATATTAGATAAAAAATTTAGTCATATCATCAATTTTTAGCATTTTGATTTTTCACGTAATTTAAGTAAAGAAAAAAATAAATTTTTTCATTATTTAATCTGTCACATCAACCAAAACTCAATGAAATGACTAAAAATAAGTCGGATTTCAAATTTTAAAGATAAAAAAAAAGAGATTTTTTTCAGCATAGAGACTAAAAAGAAATATTTTCTTATAGTAGAGGGATCAAAAAGGAAATTAACCGTAAAAATACTGTAGGCAACATTTTCATCCCCCCCCACCTCACGGAAATGCCCAAGAAAGCATTAATGAGGCGCCTCCCTCCTTCCCCCACCCTCTCCCTCCCTGCAACTTATTAAAGATACCTGTCACTGCCCCCTTTCTTACATTTACTCCCTGTCTCCCTTACATGTGCAGCTCTGTGTCATATCTTGATCAATAGCTTGCAGTTCAATTTTGACCAATGTAAGATGTAATGTACATAATTGATGGTTGTTTTCTTTTCAAATGTCCGTTTTAAGAGCTAAACAAAGATCGCACCTGCCCTAGAGGCCTACTGTCATTAGTCAGCTTGTTAGGTGCATTCCCCCTTCCTTTGGGTGGATTTCGATCCCGTTTCGTGTCAAAATGTTAAAAAAAAAAAAAAAAAAAGAGCTAAACAAAGATTTTGTTTTATTTTATCAAAAATAAAAAAATTTAAATTTAAATTATTATAATATATGAATGGTGTAACACTAAAATACCTCTCAATTGGAACATCAAAAAATAACCTTTTTCAATGAAAACTCTCATAATAGAAGACGTCTAGAAATTACATAAGTTATATTCAAAACTTCTTGACAAAATACCCTGGCATTAGAAATTAAGTGTCACAAAAGATCATTTATTTGATAATATAAAAAATAAAAAATTATTATATTTTATTATATAATTTAAGATTAAATCAAACAGAAGAAAACAGTTTTAAGTGTATATAAACGTTCCCTACGGGATACAATCATCATTGTCATGAAACTCTTTTAATTGGTGATTCTGGAGTAGTTAATTACTTTAGCTTTTGGTGAAACTGTTCTAATATGGTGTAAGAGTCTTTGATCTAAAGATGTTCGGATAATCTTTATTACCAATTCTCAATTCATTTAAAACTGAATTTCCAGC